GAAAATGTGTGGAGATCGCTAGTACAGTAACAAAAGTGAAATCCATAGCTTTAACTGTGCTCATGTTAGAACTGAAGTCTATCTCAGTTTTAAAATGAGAATATTACTAAAATAGATTTCAGTATGGAATTTCATTTTACAGTAAGTTTGTTCAGAACATGTCTCTGTGAAACGGGAAATATTTGTAAACCAGTGATACCAAATAAAAAGGCAACCACCACTAGAGGGCACTATTATCTAGGGCCAGAGCAAAAAGTTTTTACTGTGGAAAACTGAAGAAATTAATAGCTCTGGAAGAGACCTGAGAGAGCATGGGGATTTTGTCTCTTTACTTTGTGAATAAGCAGATGACTGGCTCAGTATCCCACAATAGGAATAGTGTCAGGACTAGAACCCAGTCCCGTTGTAGCACAGCATGATTCTTTGTGAAATCAGAAATAGACCCAGACTTCCCTATGGGCTTGTGGCAACGCGTTCTTTTCCACCGGGATTGCCCAGCTGCTGAGATGTATGCCCGGGGTTGCAGCAGCTGCTGTGGGGAAGGGTGGGAAAGAAGGAGGGAGAATGTAATTTATGGAGAAAGCCTGCCTAAGGGTGAAGCCATTCATTACAGGGTTCACCCCAGCTCAGGCCAGGGATGGAGAGACAAGAATTTGAGCCCCTAATAAGCTGTGCTTGAAATTAGTGCCACTTCTGGCATGTTTAGGTTATGCAAGCTGCTGGATTTCCTTTTATTAAAACCATTTGGTACAGGGTTTTCTGTCACTTGCAATCAGGAGTCTTGAATATGCCAAGCTTCTCTACTTTGCAATACCAACAGTTTTTAGAACATATGGTTTTATTTTGGAAAAAAAAAAGGTTCTAGGAAACGCACCAGGACTGTATTGCAGAGGTGAACTAAGGACAGAAAAACATATGAGGATATTCTCATATTTCATTTTTTTCTTCCCAGAAATTTTAGCTCCTGAGCTATCAGTAGAAGTGTTTATTCTCTGCTGACTACTCCACTGCATTCTTGGAAGGGTAAATTATTTCAAAGGAGACCGTTAAGAAAATTATGTTGGTAGGAAGTGGATGCAGGTTGTCATCTCTAAAAACAGTAATACGTCCTCTGACTCTCTAGGGGTAAAGAACAGAGTGAAGTTGCTTGCCCCAACAGTTTATGTACGTGGTTTTATACATGCATCATCTCATTTCTACCCCATGGCAACTCTGCAAAATATCCTCATGTCTCTTTTACAGATGAAATAGAGACAAAGAAGTTATGTCACTGACTCGAGCCTCAAGTCACCCAGCTAGTACATATAAACATTAGGATTTGAACTCAAGTCTATGCTCTTGCTTTTATGCTAGAAATACTCACATCCCCTCCAAACTCAACCCTGACAAATCTTGCAGGAACTTCAGAACACAGTACTTTTGACTAAAATGCTAGAGGTTAAACTGCTTTCATTCAAATGCCATAATAAAAGCATAATGTATACAAAGGTATAAAAAAAACGTAGTTACTGGATACATACACCTCATGTAGCAAGTTTTTGTTCAGAAGCTCCTTCTGAATCCTTTTTACCCATTTTTTGAGGTATAACATACATAAAATGTATAAAGTGTGCTCCTCTGAATTGCATACCTCAGTGATTTTTAAAAATATTTGTATCAATGAGTCATCACCCAGATTAAGACAGAATGCGTCCTGCTCTCCAGAAGATGAAGTCGTTCCAGGTGCTGCTAGTCCACCACCACCCAGAGGCAACCTAGTGGGACTTGGATATTTGCCGCTTAGTTTTGTCTGTTCTTGAACTTACAAACTGAATCATACACTATACATTCCTTTTTATCTGGCTTCTTTACTCAGTATGGAATTTGTGAGATTCGACCATGTTGTAACAGTTCTTTCTCTTCTATTCTTGGTTACAGTTCACTGCTCTTTCTTTTATTGAGGTGGAATAGACATAAAACATACTAGTTGCAGGTATACACCATTATTTGCTATTTGTGTACACTCCAAAATGATCACACTATGTTTAGTTAACATCTGTCACTTATAGTTAGAAAAATTTTTTTCTTGTGATTAGAACTTTTAAGATCTAGCAACTTTCAAATATACAATATGCTATTACTTACTGTAGCCACCGTGCTGGGCATTACATCTCCATACCTCTTTTATAATTGGAAGCTTGTACCTTTTGACTTCATTCATTCATTTTTTCTCCCATTCCTCACCCCCTGCCTCTGGCAACTAACTACCAGTCTGTTCTTTGTGTCTCTGAACTTGTTTTGTTGTTTTAAGATTCCACACAGTAGTGGGATCATACTATATTTGTCTGTCTGACCTTGAGGGCTAAGCATAATGCCCTCAAGGTCCATTTGCCTGCAAATGGCAAGAGCTCCTTCTCTTTTATGGCTGAGTAATATTCCCTTGTGTATGTGTGTGTGTGTGTGTGTGTGTGTGTGTGTATACACCCCACATGTACTTTATTCATTCACCCATCAATAGATACTTAGGTAAACAAGTGTCTTGCCTATGTAAACAATGGTGTGATGAATGTGGGGGAGGGGTACATATCTTTTCAAGTTAATGTTTTCATTTTCTTTGGATAAATACCCAGAAGTGGATCACTGGGTTATATGGTGGTTCTATTTAACTTACACTATTTTCCATAGCAGATGCACCAATTTAAATTCCCACCAAGGGTACATGAGGGTTCCCTTTTCTCCACATCTTTGCCAACACTTACTGAATCTTTTAGAAAATAGCTATTCAAACAGGTGTGAGGTGATTCCTCATTGTGGTTTTGATGTGCATTTCCTGGGTTAGTGTTGTTGAAGCATCTTTTCACATGCCTGTTGGCCACCTGTATGTGTTCTTTGGAAAAACATCTATGCAGATCCTCAGCCCATTTTTTTTTTTGCTATTGAGTTGTATTATATAGTTTGGATATTAACCCCCTTATCAGATATATGACTTGCAAACTTTCTCTCCCATTCAGCAGGTTGCTTTTTTGTTTTGTTGATGGTTTCCTTAGCTGTTACAACAGTCTTTCAATTTGGTGTAATCTGAACATATTTTTGCTTTTGGTGTCAAATTTACAAATTCATCACCAAGACCAATGTTTTCTTCTAGTTTTATGGTTTCACGTCTTACACTTTTTAAAATCCATTTTGAGTTAGTTTTTGTGTGTGGTGTAAGATATGCTGTCCAGTTTTCTCATCACCTTGTATTGAAAAGGCTGTCCTTTTCCTATTACATATTCTTGGCCCCTTTGTCACAAATTAATTGACCATATATACATGGATTTATTTCTGTTCCACTGATCTAGCTGTCTGTCTTTATGTCAATACCATGCCGTTTTGATTAGTATAGTTTTGTAGTATAGTTTGAAGTCACAGCAAAGGTGGAGGCACCATTGCTTTTAATGCATCTTCCATTACTTAACTTTGTAATGTTTCATTTCACAGAAAGTTAAGAATGAAAGGAGCTTTAGGGATTAGCCAGCTAATTTCAACCTCTACTTACTAAGAAAATGCAAACAGTCTGAAGAGTTTATCTTTCCCAGCCAAGGTCACCCACCAATGTTTCCCTATTTCCAATCCAGACCTCATCAGTTCCTTCTAATTTATACTTTTCTAAATACCCCTTGGTATGTATGTTCAGAAGTGTTTACAGGGAATGTTAAATATTTACACAAAAGCAAAATGGAGAGGAGGGAGCAGGTGGTAGATAGAACTCAGCGGCCTATCTTCAGGGAAAGGGAGGGAAGCCTTCACCTAAACAGAAGGCTTATTAGCAGCACCTCTAAAACTTTTGCATTTAGCAGCTTACTTACAGTTCTGAAAAGGCACCCTTAACTAACCCACACCACATCTTAGATTTCTATGTGTCTCTTGGCTAATTCTTGTGTAGGTGGAGGCTTAGAAGGAGGCGGCATGGCAGACTCCTTGTGTCTCAAGGGCAAGGCTCCCGAACAGCCTCAGGGATGAGCCAGGTGGCTGGGGCAGGGACATCCTGGGACCAGGAGGAAACCTCATTAATCCAGAAGCATTGACAGGCAGGAAACGAGACTGTGGCTTAGAAGTAGGCTAAGTAATAGCCAGTTGTATTTTAAGTGAGGGTCTAAGAGTCTGGGCTTGGCCACAGCTATTTCCACCAGGGAGAAGCCCTTTTGCTTGTCTCAACATTGATAGTTTGTTCCTAAAACTGAATTCACAGCTGTAGGCATGTGGTAAAAGCTTATGAAAGGTGGTGTTTACTTTCTGTCTTGGGTATGAAGAATTATTAAAAAGCTGGATACAGCACAGTAGGATGAAAAGTGTCATTTGAGATTTATAATTGATTTGTCTATAACTGAGGTACAGAAATGATCTAAGCCCTTGTTACTCGACATTGCCCACAGACCAGCAGTGTCAGCATTTCCTGGGAGCTTGTTAGAAAGGAGGGAACACAGGCCTCACCCCAGGCCCACTGAACCAGAATATGCACAATACTAAGGCCCCCCACATGCAAGAGATGTTTATGCTGATTCGTTTTAAGTCCTGCCCCAGGGTCACTCAGTTCACGCAGGTAGAGCTCTGAGGAACGTGGACTGGCCAGGTGAGGAACATTTCACATGAACTGGGGGCTGGGGGGTAGGAGAACGATGTTGACCCAGACACATGGGTTGCAAACAGCTCTTGGCAGAACTTGCTGATTCAGCCTAAACATCTCCAGCTTAGACTAGGTGCTCACAGCACCCACGTTACTCAGTACTCACCAGTGACCACTGACTCAGCACGCGGTGGTTTGGAGAAAGGAAGAATTCACTTCCAGCCACACAGTAAGTTCCTCCCCTCCCCTCAGGGGGTGCCAGCTAGTAGGGGAGACCAGGTGTCTGTTCTCATCACTATGCTTCTTTCTAAAACATCACAATGAAGAAATACCATGGAATATCTGGGTTACTTAAACAACCCCCACCCCACCAGCCATTTAGTTGTAGAACTCACACATTTAAGAGCCTTGAGAATGCTAATTCCATTCTTTTATTTCCTCATACCACAAACAGTTTATCTGCCGCCTTTGTACAACCTGATTTATACAAGCAAACTGCAAATGAAAAACAGGCATTCTTTAATCCTCTAAAATGCATGTATAAAATAGAGCACAAACCCTACTATTTATACATAAACAGGCTTTGAAGCAGCTTTATCACAATTTCTTAAAATTAGCATTATAGCTGAAATATTTATGCCTGTAAAGGTTTGCATCATCGACTATACAGTTATTTCAGAAGCAGTTAAGACTTTCAATTGGGGAAAAGAAGCCTTCAACAAAAAGCTCTAACAACAATTACGATAAATTATTTACAATTAAACATTTAGGGTCCTGATTCACAAAACTTTGTACATATCATGATTTACTTGAGTTTCAGAGAGAAGGTAAGCAGCATGTAGAATATTCCCTGGGGTAAAATCAAGGGTGGATGGCTTTTTGAGAATGTCTGTTGATATGCTGACTGCAAGCTAGAGAAAAAGTAACCACACAGAACTGCAGCTACTGCATTTGATTTGAAAATGTAAGTATATAGCAGCCATCAGACTGAACGGCCACACAGAAGAGCAAATTTGGTGCCATTTTGGACATTATTCCTGGCATAATAAGGAAGAGAAATGATTCTTGTTTTCATTCAACAAAATTCACCCCAATAATCACTACGTGTAAACTTGGGGTAATAGTCTCCTTGGCTTCCTGTAAGTTGTTTTTAATGCCTGAACAGCAAATTTTAACAAATACACGTAACAGCCTTTAGTTCAGTGGGTTTTTATTTAGGGATGAAAGTTTGGGGCAAGGTGACCAAGTGGTTAGCCATTCAAATTAGGAAAGAAACACCACAGATAAGCTGCCAAAATCCAAAATTACCTTTGAAGCACTTTAGTGGATTCGAGAGTGACTCCACGTATATGACAAAGGGGAGGACGCAACAACTGTTTGTACAGTGAATCAGGCCCTAAGTAAAGTCTTTAAAAACCCCCCAAATTTACAGTAAACATTTTAAACTCTGGAATGCAGTATAGTACAATTACCGGTACAGGACATTTGCAGAACTGTTCAGACAGTACTTGTTCCAGAGTAAGAATCACAAAAATGTACAAGCCAGTTCATGACCTCAGATCTAATGTTATTAAAATACATTGTAAATCATAAAAATACTTTACTATGTGTATGTACACTGTATAAACTCTAGATTTACCTACTGAAGGAAAACCTCTAAGCCCCGTGCTGTCTACCTGGCCCAGAGCTGTCATTTGGTCTTCATGCTACACACGAGGGCAGAGGGGGCTGCAGGCGGCTCCTCGCTGGGAGAGCCACGCGCTCGCCTTCCGCCGCACGTCTAGCTAGAAGAGTCACTTTTACTCCCGCCGTATTTTACTTTCCTAAATGCTGGTCCTAGTAACTCGGGGCATTCACATAATTCATTAGCAATCTGGTTACACTTTAATATAAGGCTATAGTTTATTTCATCAGTTATTACACTGTCTTGCTTGTAGTCAGGATGGTTTGCAATAAACTCCCTCATCCATCTGGCAACTGTCATTAGTTCTCCTGAAAAAAAATTTTTTAAGACAAATGTAAGTTAACAGAAGTACCTTCTTTTTTTTTTTTTTTTTAATGAGTTGTCATTTAGGGGCCAGAATAAACACATAAACACAATCCTGAAGAAAAATCAGGATGACCTTTTGGTATAGCTACATGGAAGGTGTTGGGCAAAACACGTTTTTCCCTCTGGTGTTTGAAGAATTCCTCCTAAGAAAGAGTTTTAAGCTGCAGGTAACTAGGATATGCACATCCCGCTGCCTCACACTACCAACGCTTAAGAAATGGGAGCTGCTAGGGATGTAATGTTCGCTGTGAGGACTCCAGCTAACACTGCTGTGCGGCACAGAGGGGAGTTGGTAAGAGCAGAGTCTGTGTTCTCATCACAGAGAGTTCTTTTTCTTTTCTTGTATGTATCTGAGATGATGGATGTTAACTAAACCTATTGTGATAATCATTTCAAAATATGTAAGGCAAAGCATTGTGTTGTATGCCTTAAACTTATACAGCGATATATGTCAGTTATTACTCAAACAGGAGCCCGCATGTGTGTACTAGAACATGTGTCCCCCACTCAGCCAAAAGGCACAGACTTTATATGCTCATATCTGAAGGCCACTTTAGGGTTGGTAGGGTCTTGAGTTTCCCAGAATATCTGATTGCAGAGGTGGAAAGAATGAGGACTAGTAAGTAGAGGAAATGAAGGGACACATAGGCTGTTCAGGGGCGGATGTCCTCGATGACTCCCAAGTTTGCGGAAGCCTCAAGTGACGTCCAGGGGCCATTACCATCAGTACTGTCACTGTTATTCACAGCTGAGGCCTCCCCTGAGCCCGGCACTTGTTAGCGTTGAGGAGATCATGCTGATAGTGTCTAACACAAAAGGGGGTTCTTGGGGTGCTCACTGTACGCAGGCAGGCTGAAGAATCCGACTTTCTAGCAGTGTTGCCTATTAACCTACAGTTATTGAGCCCAATGAAAAGAGCCCATGAGGATGAACAGCACACACAGCTGGACATAAAAGACAAAGAGGCGATCCAGGTACTGGACTAAGATGCCCTCAACTTCAAGATGCATCACTGTTATGAACTGGTAAGAAAAAAACCTAATTAAACTGCAACTGTCAATTATAAGGCATATCCAATTGCAGAGATGTCAAATGTGAAAAGGCAGGCATTGATAAAATATGGCACTTCACCAAACTACTTTAAGAAACTGAATATTCTAGGATTGTAAGGTTGTGCCTATATTATGAGATTCAAAAAAGGAAAGAAAACAAAGGCTACCGTACCAGATGCTCTCTTCTTAATCAGCTTTAGGTAGTTCAGGATGCTGCATCTGGTGTCCACATCCACTTCCATGCTTTCAAGGTAAGAGTTCAGAATCGGGATTAGCCCAGGAAACACACCTTCCTGCAAGAACCAGGACATGTCATTAGCTCTGTGCCTGCTGCTCTAGCGACGAGGTGCGCGGTACCGGGCCCCTACCTTCCCGTTGATGATGGTGTCTATGCTCATCAGGGTGCACTCTGCGGCCAGCTCCGGGCTGCTCTGGCCCTTACCACAGCCGTCCACCACAGCGTTGCCACCTGTCGGAGGAGAACACAGAGGACCTTTAGTGGCTTTGTGGCCCACAGTGACCCTAGAAATCCAGAAGAATGTAGTAATACCTTTGCAAATATCTTTCCTGAAATAAAATCTTTCTTGCAAGACAGCATCTCGTTTCTGTGCAACTTTCATGTTTTCATCAACCTACGGGAGAAAAATAATCATGCATACGTCAAAACATTTTTGATTAAACACAGACGGAAGTCATGCTGCCATCCTCACGTGTGCAATTAGGACTTGCTCCTCAAGGATTCTACTTTCTCCTCCAATGCCTTCTGGTCGGGAGAACAGACTTGTGTAGGGCCTGTGTCATCCAGTCACAGACTAGCAGGTACTTTTTAATAACAACTGGGGAATTCTAAGAGAACCTTACTTTAAAAAGCATAACAAAAATTTATGTGGCGGTCTGCATTCCAACGCACATGACTGAACTTGTAAGAAATCTACATGGGCAGGTGGTTGGTTCCCTTACACAGCAACTCGTCTGAGCACCCGGGGTAAGGAAGGCAGAGAACCCCGTTATCCTGACTTCTGTAGAGCTCTGCTCTCCCTACCACTGGGGTCTTGCTGTCCTGCATTGGGGAGGGAGGGGAAGAGTCAGGTCGTCACATCTGGAATAAGGTTAGCCTCCAAGGGCAGAGGGTCACCAATGCTGCTGCCCACCTGGAGGCTCTGGCAGTGTCAGCTCATTCACAAGCCTCCAAAACTCCTCTTTGTGAATTCTCCATTTCTCCAATGACTTTCCAAAACCTTCAAAGCAGAGCTTTTAAAACTCTTTAGTTGTAGCCCCTTATTTCCTATAAGGAAATCTTATGGGAACCTCCATATCCAAAGTAGACAACGTTTGCTTGTACAAGCGCTCAGAGTGCTTGTTTTCTTTGGAGATGTGGCCCTTCTTTAGAATTTCTTTGAGGGCAGGAGTTAGAAAATTCTTTAAGAATACTTTCCAGTTTTAACAACTGGTATTGGGAAAACTGGACAACTACATGTAAGAGAATGAAACTGGATCACTGTCTAACTGTAGTATAGTTTGAAGTCACAGCAAAGGTGGAGGCACCATTGCTTTTAATGCATCTTCCATTACTTAACTTTGTAATGTTTCATTTCACAGAAAGTTAAGAATGAAAGGAGCTTTAGGGATTAGCCAGCTAATTTCAACCTCTACTTACTAAGAAAATGCAAACAGTCTGAAGAGTTTATCTTTCCCAGCCAAGGTCACCCACCAATGTTTCCCTATTTCCAATCCAGACCTCATCAGTTCCTTCTAATTTATACTTTTCTAAATACCCCTTGGTATGTATGTTCAGAAGTGTTTACAGGGAATGTTAAATATTTACACAAAAGCAAAATGGAGAGGAGGGAGCAGGTGGTAGATAGAACTCAGCGGCCTATCTTCAGGGAAAGGGAGGGAAGCCTTCACCTAAACAGAAGGCTTATTAGCAGCACCTCTAAAACTTTTGCATTTAGCAGCTTACTTACAGTTCTGAAAAGGCACCCTTAACTAACCCACACCACATCTTAGATTTCTATGTGTCTCTTGGCTAATTCTTGTGTAGGTGGAGGCTTAGAAGGAGGCGGCATGGCAGACTCCTTGTGTCTCAAGGGCAAGGCTCCCGAACAGCCTCAGGGATGAGCCAGGTGGCTGGGGCAGGGACATCCTGGGACCAGGAGGAAACCTCATTAATCCAGAAGCATTGACAGGCAGGAAACGAGACTGTGGCTTAGAAGTAGGCTAAGTAATAGCCAGTTGTATTTTAAGTGAGGGTCTAAGAGTCTGGGCTTGGCCACAGCTATTTCCACCAGGGAGAAGCCCTTTTGCTTGTCTCAACATTGATAGTTTGTTCCTAAAACTGAATTCACAGCTGTAGGCATGTGGTAAAAGCTTATGAAAGGTGGTGTTTACTTTCTGTCTTGGGTATGAAGAATTATTAAAAAGCTGGATACAGCACAGTAGGATGAAAAGTGTCATTTGAGATTTATAATTGATTTGTCTATAACTGAGGTACAGAAATGATCTAAGCCCTTGTTACTCGACATTGCCCACAGACCAGCAGTGTCAGCATTTCCTGGGAGCTTGTTAGAAAGGAGGGAACACAGGCCTCACCCCAGGCCCACTGAACCAGAATATGCACAATACTAAGGCCCCCCACATGCAAGAGATGTTTATGCTGATTCGTTTTAAGTCCTGCCCCAGGGTCACTCAGTTCACGCAGGTAGAGCTCTGAGGAACGTGGACTGGCCAGGTGAGGAACATTTCACATGAACTGGGGGCTGGGGGGTAGGAGAACGATGTTGACCCAGACACATGGGTTGCAAACAGCTCTTGGCAGAACTTGCTGATTCAGCCTAAACATCTCCAGCTTAGACTAGGTGCTCACAGCACCCACGTTACTCAGTACTCACCAGTGACCACTGACTCAGCACGCGGTGGTTTGGAGAAAGGAAGAATTCACTTCCAGCCACACAGTAAGTTCCTCCCCTCCCCTCAGGGGGTGCCAGCTAGTAGGGGAGACCAGGTGTCTGTTCTCATCACTATGCTTCTTTCTAAAACATCACAATGAAGAAATACCATGGAATATCTGGGTTACTTAAACAACCCCCACCCCACCAGCCATTTAGTTGTAGAACTCACACATTTAAGAGCCTTGAGAATGCTAATTCCATTCTTTTATTTCCTCATACCACAAACAGTTTATCTGCCGCCTTTGTACAACCTGATTTATACAAGCAAACTGCAAATGAAAAACAGGCATTCTTTAATCCTCTAAAATGCATGTATAAAATAGAGCACAAACCCTACTATTTATACATAAACAGGCTTTGAAGCAGCTTTATCACAATTTCTTAAAATTAGCATTATAGCTGAAATATTTATGCCTGTAAAGGTTTGCATCATCGACTATACAGTTATTTCAGAAGCAGTTAAGACTTTCAATTGGGGAAAAGAAGCCTTCAACAAAAAGCTCTAACAACAATTACGATAAATTATTTACAATTAAACATTTAGGGTCCTGATTCACAAAACTTTGTACATATCATGATTTACTTGAGTTTCAGAGAGAAGGTAAGCAGCATGTAGAATATTCCCTGGGGTAAAATCAAGGGTGGATGGCTTTTTGAGAATGTCTGTTGATATGCTGACTGCAAGCTAGAGAAAAAGTAACCACACAGAACTGCAGCTACTGCATTTGATTTGAAAATGTAAGTATATAGCAGCCATCAGACTGAACGGCCACACAGAAGAGCAAATTTGGTGCCATTTTGGACATTATTCCTGGCATAATAAGGAAGAGAAATGATTCTTGTTTTCATTCAACAAAATTCACCCCAATAATCACTACGTGTAAACTTGGGGTAATAGTCTCCTTGGCTTCCTGTAAGTTGTTTTTAATGCCTGAACAGCAAATTTTAACAAATACACGTAACAGCCTTTAGTTCAGTGGGTTTTTATTTAGGGATGAAAGTTTGGGGCAAGGTGACCAAGTGGTTAGCCATTCAAATTAGGAAAGAAACACCACAGATAAGCTGCCAAAATCCAAAATTACCTTTGAAGCACTTTAGTGGATTCGAGAGTGACTCCACGTATATGACAAAGGGGAGGACGCAACAACTGTTTGTACAGTGAATCAGGCCCTAAGTAAAGTCTTTAAAAACCCCCCAAATTTACAGTAAACATTTTAAACTCTGGAATGCAGTATAGTACAATTACCGGTACAGGACATTTGCAGAACTGTTCAGACAGTACTTGTTCCAGAGTAAGAATCACAAAAATGTACAAGCCAGTTCATGACCTCAGATCTAATGTTATTAAAATACATTGTAAATCATAAAAATACTTTACTATGTGTATGTACACTGTATAAACTCTAGATTTACCTACTGAAGGAAAACCTCTAAGCCCCGTGCTGTCTACCTGGCCCAGAGCTGTCATTTGGTCTTCATGCTACACACGAGGGCAGAGGGGGCTGCAGGCGGCTCCTCGCTGGGAGAGCCACGCGCTCGCCTTCCGCCGCACGTCTAGCTAGAAGAGTCACTTTTACTCCCGCCGTATTTTACTTTCCTAAATGCTGGTCCTAGTAACTCGGGGCATTCACATAATTCATTAGCAATCTGGTTACACTTTAATATAAGGCTATAGTTTATTTCATCAGTTATTACACTGTCTTGCTTGTAGTCAGGATGGTTTGCAATAAACTCCCTCATCCATCTGGCAACTGTCATTAGTTCTCCTGAAAAAAAATTTTTTAAGACAAATGTAAGTTAACAGAAGTACCTTCTTTTTTTTTTTTTTTTTAATGAGTTGTCATTTAGGGGCCAGAATAAACACATAAACACAATCCTGAAGAAAAATCAGGATGACCTTTTGGTATAGCTACATGGAAGGTGTTGGGCAAAACACGTTTTTCCCTCTGGTGTTTGAAGAATTCCTCCTAAGAAAGAGTTTTAAGCTGCAGGTAACTAGGATATGCACATCCCGCTGCCTCACACTACCAACGCTTAAGAAATGGGAGCTGCTAGGGATGTAATGTTCGCTGTGAGGACTCCAGCTAACACTGCTGTGCGGCACAGAGGGGAGTTGGTAAGAGCAGAGTCTGTGTTCTCATCACAGAGAGTTCTTTTTCTTTTCTTGTATGTATCTGAGATGATGGATGTTAACTAAACCTATTGTGATAATCATTTCAAAATATGTAAGGCAAAGCATTGTGTTGTATGCCTTAAACTTATACAGCGATATATGTCAGTTATTACTCAAACAGGAGCCCGCATGTGTGTACTAGAACATGTGTCCCCCACTCAGCCAAAAGGCACAGACTTTATATGCTCATATCTGAAGGCCACTTTAGGGTTGGTAGGGTCTTGAGTTTCCCAGAATATCTGATTGCAGAGGTGGAAAGAATGAGGACTAGTAAGTAGAGGAAATGAAGGGACACATAGGCTGTTCAGGGGCGGATGTCCTCGATGACTCCCAAGTTTGCGGAAGCCTCAAGTGACGTCCAGGGGCCATTACCATCAGTACTGTCACTGTTATTCACAGCTGAGGCCTCCCCTGAGCCCGGCACTTGTTAGCGTTGAGGAGATCATGCTGATAGTGTCTAACACAAAAGGGGGTTCTTGGGGTGCTCACTGTACGCAGGCAGGCTGAAGAATCCGACTTTCTAGCAGTGTTGCCTATTAACCTACAGTTATTGAGCCCAATGAAAAGAGCCCATGAGGATGAACAGCACACACAGCTGGACATAAAAGACAAAGAGGCGATCCAGGTACTGGACTAAGATGCCCTCAACTTCAAGATGCATCACTGTTATGAACTGGTAAGAAAAAAACCTAATTAAACTGCAACTGTCAATTATAAGGCATATCCAATTGCAGAGATGTCAAATGTGAAAAGGCAGGCATTGATAAAATATGGCACTTCACCAAACTACTTTAAGAAACTGAATATTCTAGGATTGTAAGGTTGTGCCTATATTATGAGATTCAAAAAAGGAAAGAAAACAAAGGCTACCGTACCAGATGCTCTCTTCTTAATCAGCTTTAGGTAGTTCAGGATGCTGCATCTGGTGTCCACATCCACTTCCATGCTTTCAAGGTAAGAGTTCAGAATCGGGATTAGCCCAGGAAACACACCTTCCTGCAAGAACCAGGACATGTCATTAGCTCTGTGCCTGCTGCTCTAGCGACGAGGTGCGCGGTACCGGGCCCCTACCTTCCCGTTGATGATGGTGTCTATGCTCATCAGGGTGCACTCTGCGGCCAGCTCCGGGCTGCTCTGGCCCTTACCACAGCCGTCCACCACAGCGTTGCCACCTGTCGGAGGAGAACACAGAGGACCTTTAGTGGCTTTGTGGCCCACAGTGACCCTAGAAATCCAGAAGAATGTAGTAATACCTTTGCAAATATCTTTCCTGAAATAAAATCTTTCTTGCAAGACAGCATCTCGTTTCTGTGCAACTTTCATGTTTTCATCAACCTACGGGAGAAAAATAATCATGCATACGTCAAAACATTTTTGATTAAACACAGACGGAAGTCATGCTGCCATCCTCACGTGTGCAATTAGGACTTGCTCCTCAAGGATTCTACTTTCTCCTCCAATGCCTTCTGGTCGGGAGAACAGACTTGTGTAGGGCCTGTGTCATCCAGTCACAGACTAGCAGGTACTTTTTAATAACAACTGGGGAATTCTAAGAGAACCTTACTTTAAAAAGCATAACAAAAATTTATGTGGCGGTCTGCATTCCAACGCACATGACTGAACTTGTAAGAAATCTACATGGGCAGGTGGTTGGTTCCCTTACACAGCAACTCGTCTGAGCACCCGGGGTAAGGAAGGCAGAGAACCCCGTTATCCTGACTTCTGTAGAGCTCTGCTCTCCCTACCACTGGGGTCTTGCTGTCCTGCATTGGGGAGGGAGGGGAAGAGTCAGGTCGTCACATCTGGAATAAGGTTAGCCTCCAAGGGCAGAGGGTCACCAATGCTGCTGCCCACCTGGAGGCTCTGGCAGTGTCAGCTCATTCACAAGCCTCCAAAACTCCTCTTTGTGAATTCTCCATTTCTCCAATGACTTTCCAAAACCTTCAAAGCAGAGCTTTTAAAACTCTTTAGTTGTAGCCCCTTATTTCCTATAAGGAAATCTTATGGGAACCTCCATATCCAAAGTAGACAACGTTTGCTTGTACAAGCGCTCAGAGTGCTTGTTTTCTTTGGAGATGTGGCCCTTCTTTAGAATTTCTTTGAGGGCAGGAGTTAGAAAATTCTTTAAGAATACTTTCCAGTTTTAACAACTGGTATTGGGAAAACTGGACAACTACATGTAAGAGAATGAAACTGGATCACTGTCTAACTCCATACACAAAAGTAAATTTGAAGTGGATCAAAGACCTGAATGTAAGTCATGAAACCATAAAACTCTCAGAGGAAAACACAGGCAAAAAATCTCTTGAATATAAACGTGAGCAACTTTTTTCCGGGACACATCTCCCTGGGCAAGGGAAACAAAATAAAAAATGAACAAGTGGAACTACATCAAACTAAAAAGCTTCTGTACAGGAAAGGACACCATCAGCAGAACAAAAAGGCATCCCACAGAATGGGAGAATATATTCATAACTCATCTGATAATGGGTTAACACCCAAAATATATGAAGAACTTACATGCCTCAACACCCAAAAAACAAATAACCTGATTAAAAAATGGGTGGAGGACCTGAACAGACACTTCTCCAAAGAAATACAGATGGCCAACAGGCACATGAAAAGATTTTCCACATTGCTAATCATCAGGGAAATGCAAATTAAAACCACAATAAGATAAAACCACCACTCATCAGTTAGAATGGCCACTGTCCAAAAAGACAAGAAATAACAAATGCTGGTGAGGATGCGGAGAAAGGGAACCCTCCTACACTGCTGGTGGTTATGTAAATTGGTGAAACTGCTGTGGAAAGCAGTATGGCGGTTCCTCAAAAAAGTAAAAACAGAAATACCACTTGACCCAGTAATTTGTCCAAAAAAAACCAAAATCCCTGATTCAGAAGACATATGTACCCCTATGTTTATGCTGCACTATTTGCAGTAGCCAAGATATGGAAGCAACCCGAGTGTCCATCAATGGATGAATGGGTAAAGATGTGGTACATATACACAATGGAATATTATTCACCCATAAAAAGAAAAGAAATCCTCCTATTTGCAACAACATGGATGGATCTAGAGGGTATTATGCTCAGTGAAATAAGCCAAGGAGAGTAAAGACAAATACCATATTTCACTTATTCATGGGATATAAAAACAAAGCAAAACAGAATGAACAATACAGCAGTAGACTCACAGACACTGAGAAGTGACAAGTGGTTACCAAGGGGAGGGGAGGGTGAAGGGAATAAAGGGGCACAGTAATTCACAATCACAGTATAAGCTGGTCACGGGGATTGGGGGGGGAGTGGAGATGGTAGAACAGCATGAAGAGTGCAGTCAATGATTCCGTAATGTCCTGCTATGTTAATAGACAGCGATTGCACTAGGTAGGGTGAGGATGTGATAATATGGTAATTGTTGACCCACTGTGTGGTATATTTGAAACCAACATAAGGTTGTATATCAATGATACTTCAATTTAAAAAAAAAGAATATTTTCCAGTTTCCTGAATTAATACTTCACTGAGGATGATATATACTTTATACTGTGCAAGCCCAGTTGGGCCCTTCCCTTTAAGTCTACTGGAAGTTCTAAATTTTCCATTGTCTTTCAGACATCTATTCCTATTTGGCTGACACGTGACTTCCTTCAAGGCTGGGTGGGGCGGGTGGGGCAGGTGCGGGCCTGCAAACCCCTCGCGGAGGAGGTAGGGAGCAAGCCACCACGGGGCAGATACTGGGCTGACGGGTTCCTTCCTCCCATGCCCGCCATGACACAGCCGCTCTGCTCCTTTCTCTGGCCCTAAGCCCACGGCAGACCCCTCGTTCTGCCTGGCAGCCTTAGCCAAGGAACCGAAGGCCTGTTTACTTGCTCCCACCCCCTGGGCCAACTTACTTGCATTGTTCCATGGTTTTGCTGGGAAACTGCTTCCAGAAAGCTTTTTTGGTTTTTGTTGAGCTGGGGCTGATTAACTGTGACTTGTTTTTTTCTGATAATCCAATATCATCTACATTGTCCAGAAACATCTCCAGTTTGCCTCCACTGAGGTGACCTTTCCTTGCATTCCAGTAGTTGCACTTTCCCCTCCCCCTCCTAATTTAATATTATAACCAAAATGGGATTTGGGAGAGGAGGATATCAGTTTGTGGGACTCACTCCAACCATCACTTTGACTCAAAAGCCTCCACAAATACACTGGTTTTCAAATGCAACCCTAAATTCAAAGAGGCTATGGGTAAAATTGCAGTACTTCCAGAATCTCCCGCCTGGCCTTAGTGCATCTCCATATTAGTAGGTGTTTCCAAGGGGTGGGGAGATGTAGTCCATCTCCATATCAAGAGGCAATTACAAGGGGGAGCCAGGGTTTTGCACCCAGGTTGGTCACAAAGACACAGGCAAGCAGAAGTAGTGGACAAGTGCTTGTAAGCAATAAATGGGTTTCTCCCACTTTATCTCTCCCTTTGACTGATTTTGGTTTCAAAGGTATTTCGCCCTGGGTTGATAAAATAGTCCCACTCCCACTACCTCGGAGTTACATAGGCTAAAGAGGTGTATCTATCAGCACTTTTTTTCCAAGGGTCTCTACCAATGCAGTACCAAAATCTACAGCATAAGCTTAGGCTTAAAAGGGAGAAAAGAACAGGCTAGTGGGAGAAGCATTTTATTCTAAAGGGTGAACAATTTTAAGTAAGGTCAGATTTGCAATAGACATTACATGTAAATGAGCAACAGATAATAATTATGGATATCTCAACCCCATCACTGCGCCGACACGCATTCTTACCTTTGACAGCGGAATGAGAAAATCCAGTTTGTACGAAAGGATCACTCTGGTAAGCAGCACCACGAACACCACATACGCAGAGTTCTCGAAGTCTGTTAGCTGAACCTAGATAAGGGGGATCCCAGAGAGGTTACGGATCAACGACCACAAACATGCTCTTCCCAGACAGGCTCCTCCTCGATCACGCCATCCCCAAGCCATCTCCTACTTCCCCAACGGGGTCTGGGAGCCTTCTGCCCATACCTATTTGCAGAAATTAATCCTCCATAGCTTCTGGACTTGATTTTAACATGTACACACTTGATTTGTACTGCCACCCAATTAACCTATGAGCCTCTGCTAAGAGCATCCGAAGAATGACAGGCAGTCGGGACAGGTGCATTTGAGTCAGCTCCTGCCGACGCGCGGCTTACCTCCATGGGTCGGAATTCTACTCTCCATCCAATATCAGAGTTTGGAGGAGGAGGCTTAAATCTCATGGTCTGCCAATTTGTGGACTGAATATTCTATAATAAAAAAGCAGAGAATCAAAGTAAATTTCCACATGTCCGGGAAAATGTTAAAACGGTTTGATATTTGATAGGGAAGAAGGTGGTTCACACCAAATACCATCTAATTACAAATATAAAAGGTACAATTTAAGATTTTCTCAGTGTAGGCCTGCTAGGAAAACAGAACAGCAAGTCGGGTGACCGACTGAAAAAAAATAAGTTTTTGTGCAGCATGATTGAATTTTTTTATGTTTATGTGAACAAGAGACAACACTGAAGAAAAAAATTCCAAGTTGGAGATACTACCATTCATAAAATAAGCATACTTTAAACCAATTAAAATTTGCTTTTAGTTCTTTACCACCCTGGGTAATGAAAGTCACATGAGATTTCGCTTGTCACGAATTCTTCACAGGTACAGGAAACTGCCTCCATCTCGGTTAGTGAAATGCATTTAAAACAGAGGAGATACCTCAAAGTGGTCAGACTCATTGGCATCGTCCAGGTGTATCTTCTCTTCAAACAGAGTCAGTGGGTCTCTAATGAAGAGATGAGCAACATGCTGGGCCAGGAGATGATCAATGCCTGTGAAGAGAGGCCGCACTGGACTCACTTTGGAGCTCCAGATAACACTGTTCTCTAAGTCCAGCAAGCAGACAGGACAGCTCAGGAAGTTTGAGGAGAGGGTTTTCTAGAAGCTTAGGAAGTGGCTGACTTGTTCAGTATTTGCATGTCACCCAGGATTTCATCCTATGAACCTTGGGGAAGTGTCAGTTTTATTCACTACTTACACAATGCCTGTTGGGCACTGGTGTGGACCTAGATACAGACCTCCAAAGTAAGTTCCTTTTGCTAAAAGTCAAGAAGATCTCACAAGTATTTGGAACTTGAAACGTTAGGAACAAGCAGCCTCACAAGAAAAGTTAGAGACTTCACACTAAAAATAGAAACCAGACCAGGAGTCAGCAAAAAAGTTGAAAAGAGTGTCGAAGAACTAAAGGCGTACAATCAAATCTAGAAAAAAGGAAAAGGAATGGCTGCTTACCTTCCTGCAACAGTTGTTGGTAGATTTTTTTATCTATCGTCAAGTCGATGTCATTATATTTCTCCCCACACTCAGATAAATAGCTGTCTATTGAATCGTATCGTGACTTACTAATCCTATAGTTATTGTTCTTCAGGGGCTAGAATTGAAAAAAGAAAAATGAATGACTGCCATATAAAATGATGTCAAAACTAATGCCCCAAATAATTACATTAAAATGCTATATATTAAGCTAGGAAAATAACTGCCAAAGTCAAGAGTAAAAATAGAAACTTTTAATGTAAGACAAAACCAGCAAAATGACTTCTCTTTTAAAGTTTGTTTCTGCTTTGAAAGCACGTCCAACAACTTACGAACAATTACATGAAGACCAGAGCAGGGGGAGTACAGCCCTGGTTGGGAACATCAGAATCACTTTTGAGGGCCCCTTTAAAAATACCAATGTCTAGTTCTGGAGGTAGCCGTTTATTAGGACTATGATGGGCCTGGGTGTCTATTTTTAAAGATCTCCATGGTTCTGATGCATACTCTTGGTTGGAAAGATGCAGGGTGACAGCTCAACATGCACACCACTGACCTATTGTTATGAGGCAAACCTAACCCCTTATGTGGAGCAAAGGAATCTTTGACAAAAGGTTACACACCTTACATAGAAATTATCGGATACAAAGCATTCATGAGCACCACAAAGCCTTTTGGTAAAATCAGCCACTAGCACTGACTTTCAAAATGTATAAAAATTGCACTACTAATTTTAGGAGGAAACAAACACAAATTTCAACAATGATGAAGATTAACTCCCCACCCAAACCAAATCACATTTCCCATACATTCACCCCAAACATGCACCAAAGACCAGAAACTTAAGACAGGTTTATAACCTGCGAGTTTCATCCCATAATGAGTAACCCACTCAAGACAAAAAATTATGGGAGACTTCAAAACTGCAAGTAGTTACAGTAACCCCATTTTACTTGCTTACTCTAAAAGGTTATTAAGGAAAATCATTCCCACCTCCAGTCCTCTCTCCTCCCGAGTTCTATCATCGACAGATGCAGAAATTACTCCCCAGCGACAGTCGATGTCTGACACATAGCCTCGGTAGAAAGGGGAGGCAGCACTCAATGCCATCTGAAAATAAACAAAAGTCAGCACCTGCAGGTCCAAAGTGTTGCGTATAAATGCTGATAAAAGCTCCATGCAATTATCTCTGGTCAAGAAAAATCAGTTTGTTCAACCACTGTGGGGTTCTCCCACATCCGGGTGTGTCTGCTTTCTCAGAGGGACGTACACCAGAAGTGTATCTGGATTTGGTTCATTTAAATACTCCTCACTATTAGGTGAGGACACAAAGGATGGGACAGAGAAAACAGCTACAGGGAAACCTGACACTTTAACACATAAATATCTTATTAGCAACAGTACGCCTCTAGTGAGATTCATCCCACTACTCTAAATCTGCATACTCTATTTACATCATTTCTGAATGGAGTCTTAACTGGACTTAAAGAACACACAGTAACTTTTGCACATGTAGTCTTTCTCTTATACAAAGTATTAAAAATAAGATGTAATTTCTACTTACAACAATTGGGCAGATAGTGGCCAACTGATCATAGAGGTATCTGGCCTCAGATATGCTGCAGGCTTGGAATGTTACCTGTTGAAGAGTTACAAGTTACCAACAATGAAAAATCATTAACATCATCCCCAAGGAGTAAAGCCCCCATGAGAGAGAGAGAGACAGAGAGAGAGAATGGCTGGAGAAGAGAGGGGGCGTGGTATGTGATGGTCATTCCATTGACGACAGTGTTTAAGACAGGAGTTGTGTTAAAAAGTTGTCTTGGATGAATTTTGCTAGCAAATGGTATTTAATCATATTCACACTAATATAAATAACCATGTTCCTAAGTTAAATAAGATGAAGAAGTCAGAGATGAAAAATAAGTAACTAAACGGTGAGCCCAGCAAGGTATTTCCTCGTCCACTGACTTATTTCCTTCCACAGCTGAGGAGTTATATCAATAAAAGGGATTTGGGGATGCTAATAACGGAGTTCAAAGTTCCCTGGTGGCAGTATGGGGAATGGCTTGGAAGGGGGCAAGTCTGGAGGAAGGGGGAATAGTTGAAACACTGCAACTGTCAAGGAAAAATTAAGGGGGGCTCGTGGGAAGAGGCACGCCAGAGTCAAAGTAGCCGGTTCTGGTGACCAGTGGGGTGCCAACCACAGGGCATGACTTAAGTTTTGGCTTGGGTGTTCCTAGGGCAGGCAGGAGGCAGGGGCATTGTGGCACAATGGGCTCAAGAAGCCAGGGACAGACAGGAAAGGCAGCCCTGTCAGTGGCTGGGTCTGCAGGGCTGGTGCCCAGGAAGAAGAATCTGAGCTGGAAATATTTGGGAAGTAGGCTCAGATGATGTCGTGCAGATGGGCGGATCACGCCGGAAGCCCGCACAGGACGGGAAAGTAGAGCATTTAAGAACTAGGCAGAGAAAAAGATCACATGATTCATACAAATCCTCTAAAAATAATTACTCAAAGGAAACAAAACAAGCCATGTTTCCTTTGGAGTGGCAGATGAAGCAAGAACACAAATCCTGGCTGTTAGCACATTTGTATTAACTGCAAATTGGGAACAGTTTTAATTTCCTCTGTTATTTAATAATGACATTTTCAGTTTAGTGTTGGTGCAGGAAATAATTTAAGTGCTTACTACTTTAACTGCAGCTGAGTGAATATGCTTATTATTACAGTCCCAACCTGCTATTGGCAATAGTTTTAGCCAGGTCTCAACGTCTTTTTTTTTTAACAGCACGGAATTTCTGTTGGGGACTCACATGTCTACCTGCTGAATTAGTACGGCATTCCACGTCCTAGTGTGGCCTCTGATATACTAGACAATTCACAGGCAAATCCTGGAAAAGTCAACTCTAGAAAGTATGCTTAAGAAAATGAGTGCCTGGAATTCAATAGCTGATTTACAACAATGAAGTGACTCAGTGATTCTAAACACATTTAGTGACTAGCTCCCTTACCCTAGAGCTGATATAGCTGTCGTCAAATAGGACATCACTGTGGGTAATGGCTTTAATGGGGGAAGGACAAAAAAAGTTCTTACACCTTAGAAAGGTATGAATATACGAAGTTTGGGCTTCTGATGTTTACGAAAGTATCTCATATAAAGAAGAGAAGCAATGTCACTAGGAAACAGGCTAAAAAAAGAGAAAGTATGAAAATAGATGTTAGAAACCTAAATATCTAATCTAAAAATACATCAATTTTGAAACCATGTGATTTTCTTAGGGAGGAAAAAACCTATCACAATATGCATAAGTTTATTGACTGACACTTATTAAATGTTTCCCAAAAAGTTCCCCAAGGGTTGGGACTTCACTGAATGAGGCTAAAATATTTTTTGTTTTGTAAGTCTTCCATTAACCTTAAACAATGACCTCAAAACTACTTTTCCTGCTTTACTGTAATAAGCAGTTTCTACGGTTCCACCGAAGAGCTATGAAGCAGGAATTTCTGCAGTAATTTGTGAAGTTCATCTCATTGGCCCTGCACTTTATAGCATCTGTGCTAATGATTTTTTTAAGTAGAGTATTGAAACTGGGGTGGACATGCCACTGAAAGAAGAAAAACAATCTTAACCCCATGACAAAGCTTAAGCTGGATGGAAAACTGTGTCTGCAGGCAATAAAAATGTTAACCTACCATTAGGACATATTTATTTGTATAAATATAGTATTTCAAGGGAAAAAGAACATTGCTTTGGCATGGAGCAACGCTGCTGTCTGTGGCAAAACACCCTGGTTTAATATTAAACGAAGAAAAAGGGGACAGGCGCTCCAACAGCGCTGATAACATTTTAAAGCTGTGCACTGGAAGTTCTAGAGCTTAATGGTTTTCTTCAAAAGTATTTCTAATTAAGATAGAAAACCAGATATGCAGTTAAAAGTCAAAAGGCCTTTTTAAAAATGAAGTGTGATCTTGGTAAAGAAACGTACTGGTGTATTTGTTTAAAAAACACATTTTATACTGCCTATCTAAGTCAGAAAAAGCAGGGAAATTTTTATGGTTATTTAAGCATTATTTAGCATGGAAAACTCTGACTCTGGCATCCAATTTTGATTATATGTAGTTGCAAAAATAACACATCAGAGGTACTGTGCCAGAAGGGGTGCGTCTATGTTTGAGGGGAAGGGAACTGGGGCTTCGTGGCCTATAGGTTCAGAGTGACCAGACTGGAGGCCTGGGGCCTGACGTGGGGACCAGGCTCTGCACTGCTCCAGGCCTCTAAGGACATAATTTCTAAGCAGCTGAAATAAAGAGAATTAAATAAAATCTCCTTGGACAATAACAGGAGGCCTTTTTTTTTCCTGAAATTTTCAATTTATACATTGTGCAACTCCTACCCCTAACATGATTATTACAGACAAAGGATAAAACAAGTACTTCCATTCATGAAAACAGAGAAGTAAACATTAGCTTGGGTCAGACCTAGAAGGGAATTTAATACAAACCGTTCTTTTAACTGATGAGAGGTCAGAAGAAGGGAAGGGAGTCACCATCCAAACACCTGAGAAGTACCAGCTAAAACCTGAATGCAGGCCCACGAGTGGCCTGGTGAGGTCTGTGCCCTCTTGCCCAGGTCCTACATAAGTGTGGGCACACTTCACGGCCTTGCATGAATATAAAAACCTCAAGTCCAAACAACCCTTCCCTTGGACCACAAAAACCAATAGAGTGCACCCAGAGTTCATTTTCAAAAATAATGAGACTTGAGAGATGTTTACAACCTCCAAGCTAGACGGCCACTAGATGGCAGCACGCGCTAGGCATACAGGAAGGACAGGGCGAGCTATGGTGACGGAGCTCACATTAATGTTAGTTAACAGCTATTTATCTTCGTGGTCAACTGTAGATTCTGTAAAGTCTGCACCAAGAGATAGCTTCCAATGAATTTACTAAAATGACTTCACTGGCTTTCAGAAGGGCATACCAGCTCCCATTTCAACCTGACTAAAATGTGATTTTTAAAAAGGAAACATGCGATGGGCGGAGCCAGGATGGCGGTGTGAGTAGAGCAGTGGAAATCTCCTCCCAAAAACACATAGAGCTATGAAAATATAACAAAGAAAAATCTTCCTAAAATAGAGACCACAGGACACAGGACAACATCCAGACCACATCCACACCTG